AAATACCAACAATCCCGCCAGCTCTTTGAAGTTGCATGAGATTCATATCAACAGCACAGGAGCTGTAAATGTGGGCTACCTTTTTCTTGTAAACATCTCTTTTTGGTGTAATGGTAAACTTTGTAAATTAGCAAGGTCCTGAATTTGGTAGCTTGTCTGTGCTTTTGTTTGGTGATGGGATGCTGTATGGGCTCAATAGTAATAGATTAGGAAGGAGAATAACAAGTTAGTGTGTGTACACCTAAATTGTATGCTGTTACTAAATGTGCAAGTTGAGGTCAGATGAGGAAAAGATGGTCAGCTACGATCTTTTAATTGCATCTTACTCACATTGTCTGAGCTTGTGAAGAATATTGCTTGGATGGAAATCTGTCACCACCTGAAGAGGATACGTCAAAGAAAAATGGGAAGAGTGGGGGAAAGATGTGATGAAAGAGGATATCTCTCAATAGAATTGTAAAAGATTTGCATAACAGCTCATGCTAATATAATCACACTGAATTCATGAAATATGGGAAAAGGTGGCTTAGCCAATGAGCGTACTTGAATTTCTCATCTGCCTGCAACTTTAATTTCTTGGATTTGCTAAATTGTTGAACAATTATTTGTTTTCCACTCATTCAAAGTTGTTCTCTTTATTTGCCTTGTCTGATTTTCATACAATATTCAATATTCCCACATGGAATTCTGCTAAATTGAATTGTGTAGAAATTCCTTTAACCCTGTAGTCACGTTGATGTTCCTTCTGATTTAATGGTTTCATAGAGTTATACAGCATTGAAACAGGCCCTTCAGTCCAACTTGTCCATCCTGACCAAGTTTCCCAAATTAAAGTAGTCACATTTGGCCCATATCCTTCTAAACCTTTCTTATTCATGTACCTGCCCAAATGTCTTTTAAATGTTATAACTGTATCTTTTATAAACCTGTAAGGTCACCCCTCAAGCTCCAATGCTGTAGTGGGGTGGGGGGGGAAATCGCAGCTTATCCAGCCTCTCCTTATAATTCAAACCCTCCGCAGCCTCTCCAATTTAATAAAATCCTTCCTATAGCAAGGTGATCAGAATTGTACATGGTACTCCAAAAGTGGCCTCACTAACATCGTCTACAACCTCAACGTGATGTCCTAAGTCTTAACTCCTAAATACAATGGTCTGAGCAATGAAGGCAAGCGTGCCAAATACCTCCTTTACTACTGTCTATCTGTGGTGCAACGTTCAGTGAATAATGTACCTGAAACCCTAGGTCTCTCTGTTCTACAACATTCCTCATGGCCCTTCCATTAACTGTTTAAGTCCTGCCTTTTTTTGTTTTACCAAAATGCAACACCTCACATTCATTCAAATAAACCTCAGTCTGTTAGTCATTGGCCCAATTTCTCAAGATCCCTTTGTAATCTTAGATGACCTTCCTCACTGTCTACAGTACCAACAATTTTGGTGTCATCTGCAAACTTACCATTCTCCTATATTCTGATCCAAAGCATTTATATAAAATATGAAGTTTAACTTGACTGTCACTTAAATTATTTCATGATCGTTATTTCAAACGACTCCACAGTTAATGAGGCTCTTTTATAATAATGAGAAAGGCTGTACGTTTGCTACTTTCAATCTTGTGGCACCTCATTTATTCTAAACTAGGTGAGGTCCTTAAGGTTGGTGTTCCCAAATGCAGGCTGAACCTGCCCTGTGAGCACCTATTAGTTGATTGTGCAGCCAAAAAGGAATGGTAATGTTGAGATAGTAACACTGGCTGTTTGGAGATAGTTCAGAGCTTCTTATTTGTCAATAGTTGCTGCTAGAATCTCCCACAAGAGAAAACAAGTTGGATGTGAAAAGAATTTTAAGATCCCTTAGGATCATGTGTTCAATCAAATCACCTCTTATGCTTTTAGATCCAGCATTGAGGCTAACTTTCCAACCGTTCCACATAAAACAACCCACCTGCTCCAGGTATTAGTCCATAAAGTTTGACTGACCTGCTTCTGAAGCATTTACATATAAAAAGAGTCCAGTACTGTTAACAGTACTCCATGTGTGGCTTCACCAATAACTTGCACAGCTGATTTTGTTTTGTTTTCTTGTTTTTGCATTTGGACAGCAGCAGCTGTTGATCATTTGCCATTCGCACATGCTCCAGGCATATCTTTTGTTTTCTTGACCCATTACCACTCCCTTTAACCCTGCACAACCAACTCTTGTCATTTCATCTCTACCATCTTCTACCCGATCAAGTTGTTGCCTTTAGTCTTCTCCCTCTCTATTTCATTTATTTAAACTGTGTAAAACCAAGAGATGTTAGACATGTACAGGTCTGAAAATTAAACTCCCTTTCTCTCCCCATGAGTACGCCCTCTGAGAATATACTTGTTTTAGGTGTATATTGAATTGATCTTGCTTGATACCATTCTCTGTTTCTTTTGACATCCAGAGGTGGATACCATAAAGGGAAAGCTGCCCTGTCAAATCTACATACAACAATATTTCTGAAAAATATGTGGGGAAGTTTGAATCTTGATTGAACAGACATTTCAAGCGTTGCAATTTTAAGTTGATAAAAATTTGCATTTGAGAATCTGCTCCTGAACTGTAAACATCCAGTAGCACCTCATGATTCCTCAAGTTGGTTTAACAAAACAAAATTTCACTCTCAAGTGACTCATTACCTGTTCTGCGGCCACAAGATATTCGGAGACTTCTAAATTCAGGTTTCACCTGTGTTCCTTTTCTAAAATAAACTGATAAACAAACAAAACCAAAAAAACAAACTTTTCATCTACACTCACAACCACAATTTGTATTTATTTATATCATGTGAAAGGAAAATGCTGATTGGTTGTCAAGTGGTCTCTGACTCATAGAAGCTTCCCTATGGGAAATGCACTAGTTATTGATGATTGACAGTTAACTGTCAGGACTTGTTTAAATTTTAAACCAGGCAAGTTAGTCATGCCATTGCCTGAGAAATGAATCAGGAAATAACTGTCAGCTATTTTTTTGAGTTGTAACAGGTGCAATAAAGGTACATGTTCTTTCTGTCTGTAATGTGCAGGCTTTGTGTTTTAGTGTATGTAGCTTACATTACATGCAGGCATGCCACACTGCACCCCCCATTGATAATCATAAAAAGGTTATCAGCTTAATTCTTTGCATGGGGCATAATGATATTATCACTAGACCATTAATCCGGAGACCTAGGTAATGTCTTAGGGACCTGTGTTCAAATCCTGCTATGGCAGATGGTTGAATTTGAATTCAATAAAAAAAATCTGCGATTAAGAGTCTAATGATGACCATGAAACTGTTGCCAAATGTCAGAAAAACTCACCTGATTCACTAATGTCCTTTAGGGAAGGAAATCTGCCATCCTTACCCAGTCTGGCCTACATGTGACTCCAGACCTATAGCAATGTGGTTGACCGTCAACTGCTCTCTGGGAAATTAGAGATGGCCAATAAATACTGGTCTGGCCAGTGATGTCCATATCCCATGAATGAAAAAAGAAGGCTCAAAATTACTCAGCAAATGTCCAGTGTGGAATCACATTTAATGTTGGACATTGAGTACTGCAAGTCAGGGCTGGTTAGGCACAGACTATA